ACCCCTTATCAGTGCCGACCGTACTACAGACCAATTCAGACCTGATTGGTCACCCCGTGCCCATCGCAAGGGAGAAACACAAATGTTTTTTTTGTTGTTGTTGTTGTTGTTGTTATTGTTGCCCGTATTGAAACGGCTGTACGCCGTATGGACCTGAAAACTCAATGTCCCTGTACAAGAATACGGTAGTAAACCGTGTGGGTTCACATGTATGGTAGTGTAGTGTATAGCGTAGTGTATAGTCATGTATACGAGTTCTAGATTTGAAGCGTTCGTGACTGCAAGGAGCCATACTCTTTGGGTCTATTCGGTAAAGTCACGTAAAAGTATAAAACAACAAAAAAAGAATAATAAATAAAATAAATAAAATAAAATGCAATAATAATGAAATAATATTTTTTGCTTTTTATATTTTTACGTGAATTTACCGAATAGAACCAAAGAGTATGTATACGAGTGTATAGTAGTGCTTACCTGTCAACCCCTTATCAGTGCCTACCTTACTATAGACACATTCGGACCCTATTGGTCACCCTTATAAATCTCAACGTTCATCCTGCAAAGTCCCATCACAAGGGAGAAACACGAATAAATATATATATTTTTTAAACGTTTGTTCGTATGGACCTGAAAACTCAATTTCCCTGTGCAGGAAAGAATACGGGGTAAGACGTACGGTTTGACAAAGTATGCTGGCAAAAGCCGTGATCGGACCTTCTTCTTCCCGCATGGGCTGATTGGAGGCGCAGGATCAACAAACCAACCGACCTCTCCCGTATTGGCCTCGATCCGCTTGGTTCGCTCGCATTCGCCAACGATTCGCGCACGCGGTCGAGCGCACGGCACTCGCCCGCCGCCAGAGGGCGACACACACAGTTCCTATGATCACTGTTCCATTGGTTCTTTCAAGGACAGTGCCACATACATGATCAGAGTTGTTATTTTTTGTTTGCGTTCCGACCGCAGGTATTGTGGTCAATGTAAACATGACTCCTTGTAAAAAAAAGGTGTCAGTTTTGTTGCCAGATAAAAGGGTAAAAAACCAATTATCATATTTTGTTACTGGCAAATGAGGTTTCCAATGGTGTAAATGCTTACCCCGAGCTCTCATACTCTGATGGTGCATTGTCTTTGAGTTGTGCGCCTTTTGGCGTCTTCTGGTCCAACACCATGTGAGACGAGGCTTTAAAGAAAGCTGTCTCGGGTGTGGACCAATCAATTTCAAGGACAGTGCATATATTATCAGAGTTGTTATTTTTTTGTTTGCGTTCCGACCGCAGGTATTGTGGTCAAAGTAAACATGACTGCTTGTAAAAAAAAAGGTGTCAGTTTTGTTGCAAGATAAAAGGGTAAAAAAACAATTATCATATTTTGTTACTGGCAAATGAGGTTTCCAATGGTCTTTCGGTAAAGTCACGTAGAAGGGAAACAATAAGAAAGAACCAAGAATATGAATCCCTGCAGTCACGAAAGCTTTAAATCACTGTTACATTGTTTTTTTTAATAGTTTTATTTTGGTGATTTTGAAAACGTTTTGGTTTAGCAATGTTTGTTTGTCGTAGTACAGAGTTAACCTGATAACTTTAATCTATATTGTCTTATGGTTGTTATTGTTTGACTTGCATCCCACTGGAATTTTGCACACAGCGTTGAAATACGGTGTTCTTTTCAGGGAAAACTTTGCTGGTTTTTTTTTCTCCAGGATTTTTCTGTTGCGCGTATTCACTTTAAGATGTTTCTTGTTCATGTTTTTGTTTTGTTGCGGTTGCACCCGAGTCAAGAGCCGCATGGGTCACATGGTTATACCTAATAAATGAAACTGAAACACACACACGCACGCGTGCGATACCGTGGAATCGTGGCTGTGATGGAGCGGTGGCGCAGCGGTTAGCGCACTGACGCGAGATGTAAAGTCGACGACACGGTGTGCAATGTTTTTGCTGGCCACGGTAAAAAGAAAAAGCAATGAGTGGCGAGTGAGATATAAACCGGGTCCCCCCCCCCCACCACCACAACCACCTCCCCCTCCTCTTCACCACCCCGTACTGACCAGATCGGTGAAGTTTATTCAAGGGATCCTCATGACGGACACAACGTGGTTGGCGGGGGGGGAGAAGGCCTTCATCCAGCAGTGGATTGATAAAGGGGGCCCAACATTGCTACATATTGCCAAGAGTCAGCAAGAAGGGCTGAATGATTAATCGATTTCAAATCGAAATTGCAATTTGAAACAATGCAATTAGCAAATCGCAAAGGCTGCGATTTTTTTGCGATTTAAAAAGTCCTATGTCTTATTGGAATTTTTTTTTATTATTATAACTTTATTTATTTAACTTAACAATTGTTCTATGTTTGATGGCTCTATTTCAATTAAAACATTTTTAATAAATACATGTTGGAAGAAATTCATATCTTTTAAGTTATCATCCTTGCATTAGAGTATATAGAGCGGTTCATATTGTGATGGTATCACGTGGTAATGCTCCATCACGTGTTTTAAATCTATTACACAGTGAATATTGAACTGAAGCTTGACTTAAAATAATGTAATCACAAATCAAATCGCAATTAGATATTTTCCCTAAATCGTTCAGCCCTAGCAGTAAGCCATACGTACAGACGAACTGCCCGAGTAGATTTATATTCGTGACTGGGTTAGATCGCGTAAATATATAAATGTGTCGTTGAAACCCGCCACCACCCGACACAGCCAACTAGTAAGGGCTGTCACGTAAACAGAACGTGCCAATTCGTCACTAATACAGCACACCGGTGTGTTGGAGAGCCAAGCCACAACATTTACAATCTGAGTACGACGTTTCGCCAGTAATTACAACTAGCTTCATCAGGCGACAGCCAGATTTGTGTTTCGTTCCTTATATAGAGGCGTAGATGTGGTGACCACGCTTTTGCGCTCTTGCACAAAGTTGTGAGGGGAGGGGGGGAGGATTACTGAGTCAACGTACATGATGCATGTGCATTATGCGAGCCCTTTGAACTTGTCCTTCCTGTCTATTGTGTGTATTAAAATAGCCATACCAACGGTAATCCCGATTTAAGTATGGTGCCCTTTATTGGCATGCATTTAAATAATGTATTATTTGATTATTCGCTTCCACGCAGAACTAAGACGGTAGCTATCCGAACGGTTACATTTTTTTATTTCAATAACGACAGATTCTCTAATTAGTCTTGGCCAGTAATAGGTAGTTTTGCACAGAACTTCAACATTGTCCACATCAATTGAGTGTCCTTGTTGGTACGCGTGTTCTGCTCCTGCTGACAGTTGTATTTGTGAATATTTAATATTTCTCTGATGTTCTTTTAGTCTCGTGCAGATCATTCGTCCTGTTTGCCCAATATTACATGTACCACATGTGCAGTTAATCCTGTACACACCTTCTGTTGACAGCTTCGGTAATACATTCTTTGTACCAGATATTAATTTCTGTATTTTATGTACCGTGCCCAATCTGGCTCTGATGTTTTGTTTTTCCAAACATCTGGTTAGTTTATCAGTTACTCCCGCAATGTATGGTATTTTGATCGTTTTAATTACTTTGGCAGTTTCAATCCTCGTGTTATTTGATTTGGTTTTGGCATTCAATGCCCTAGTTGATTTGTGCATCATTGTAACCGTTCATTTGCAGAGCTTCTTTAACATATTGAATTTCACTTCTCAGACTGTCACCATCTGACAGTTTCTTAGCTCGATGAATGAGCATATTGTTTAATAAGAGCAGATTTCGGGTGATGGTGTGACTCTCCATTCAGATAAACGTCAGTATGTGTTTTCCTTCGATAAACACGGCGTGTTATTTTACCGTTTGGACCCCGTCCGAGCAGGATATCCAGAAATGGTAGAGTTCTGTCAGCTTCTACTTCCATGGTGTTAAACTGGTGGTGAACTTTGTCCACTCTTTAACAAAAGAGTATCCCAGACACTGAGTGAGCGAGCGTGTTATTTTTTTGGTGGTTGGGTGTATCGCCCCGATCAGCCGTACGGGGGTCATGTTTAAAAGGGGCCTCCGTTCATGAACACATTTTTGGTTTGATATATATTGTAGCGTGGCGCCCCAAATTGAAAATGTAATTTCCCTGATTTAAAGAAATGTCACGTTACAAGTTAACTTAGCCAGCAGCCTTTACCACTTTTTTTTAATTGGGTGCAATTGTGAACAATAGCATCGACATGAGTAGATCCGATCGGCATCATCGTTGGTTCACTGCAGCTCAAAGACTCGGTCCCTACAAGGCGCGTGGTGAAGTTAAGAGATGTCCACGTGTGAGCTTGGAATTTGAAGGACTAAAAGATCAGAATCGATTATTTCGCCGGCAATGTGTTCCGGGAGGCAGTTCCATAGCCGGAGAACAGAGTGAAGAAGGGAGCTTCTGTCCAGGGAGCATGTTCTGGCAACTTGGGCCGCGGGGGAGGGGGCAATGGCGTGCGTGGCTTTGCAAGGTTGTGCAGACACACATTATGAACTAGACCCAGGCACCAACAACAAACAGTTCAGACACTCTCCCCCTAATCGCGGGTGAGGGATTTTTACATGCAAAATCTTTGCTCTCAGAATGTTCCGTTTAAGAGCATCAAGTGGGCAGTATTTGTTGCCACATTTCGCCACTCTAGCCCTTGGAGAACATCGTGAGATGCACATCAGTCGCGACCATCTACGTCTCAAAAATCTTCTCGAGCCTCCTGTAAATCACGTGACTTGGGTGTTTCCACCCCAAATCTGAACCCCTCCCCTCTCCCCGCCCACTGTGAAAACAGACGCCACTCCTCCTCCTCCTTCGTGCAGCTCACTTATGCTCGCTCCTTCTTGCTCCTCCATCTCATCCCTCACCACCACCACCACCAACCACCTCGACCACCACCAACAACCACCACTAAATACCAACACCCACCACTAACCCTCTCACAACCAACACTACCCTCCCATCCCTCACCACCACCATCTCTTCCCTCCCATCCCACCACCACCTCTCCGTCTCCTCCTCCTCCTCTTCTCTGTCCGTCTTGGCGATGGGAACTTCCATCTCGCCCTCCCTTCCCTCTTCTTTCCCCATTCATTGCGTTCTTTAGTCGACTCCCCACTCCCACCACCCCCGTGATGGTTCTCCCAATAGCAACACCGCCTTCGTGCCGTGCAACACATTTAATTTGACGGCCACGAGCGCCCTCCTGTGGACAACTCGAGTTGTGGCATCTCACGCAATTACCGATCCAACTCGCGTGGGTGTGGGGGGGGGCACAGCAGAAGGAGACTGAGCGACCTCCCCACTGCGGGCGTCTACAGAAACGCCTGTGGTTGTTGGAGAAGAGAGTCGCGGCGAGCCGGTCGATCGAGGGGGTGTCTGCTGGGTCACGGGGAGGAGGGCATCGGGCCACCGCCGCCGCTGCTCACGGACCCCTCGCTCTCGCTGTGGCTCCGCGCCGAGTGTAGCGCCCCCTGGCGGGCGCGGAGCGCGGTGGGCACCTGCAGGCCGACTCGCACCGTGAGGCCGCCACACCACACCTGGGTTGGGGAGGCGCAGCAGAGGGCGACGGGCCGGGTGGCCCAGAGGGATGTTTTGTCATGGACGTGGAGAGTAGAACCCCTCTTAATACAGTGTTAAATTGAGTAGAACCCCTCTTAATACAGTGTTAAATTGAGTAGAACCCCTCTTAATACGTGTTAAACTGAGTAGAACCCCTCTTAATACAGTGTTAAATTTAGTAGAACCCCTCTTAATACAGTGTTAAACTGAGTAGAACCCAATAAAGTATTAAAGCTTTCGTGACTGCATAAAATTACTCATTGTTTTTTTTCGGTAAAGTCACGTATGTAGAAATACAATAAAATTATATTAAAACAAAAAACAATCACGACGCTTCGATCACAACGCAAGCGATCTTCATCAGGTGTCAAGAGCAAATCACGGAGGTAAAGTGAGTAGAACCCCTCTTAATACGTGTTAAACTGAGTAGAACCCCTCTTAACGACCACCCCTGTTAACGACTAATCGCTTAGCGATGGGCCTTCATAGAGCCCAATGTATAGTAGTGTAGTGTATAGTAGTGTAGTGTATAGTAGTGTATAGTGTAGTGTATAGTGGTGTAGTGTATAGTAGTGTAGTGTATAGTAGTGTATAGTGTAGTGTATAGTAGTGTATAGTGTAGTGTATAGTAGTGTATAGTAGTGTAGTGTATAGTGTAGTGTAGTGTATAGTAGTGTAGTGTATAGTTGTGTAGTGTATAGTAGTGTAGTATATAGTGTAGTGTATAGTAGTGTGTATAGTGGTGTAGTGTATAGTAGTGTAGTGTATAGTAGTGTAGTGTATAGTAGTGTAGTGTATAGTAGTGTAGTGTATAGTGTAGTGTATAGTAGTGTAGTGTACAGTAGTGTAGTGTATAGTAGTATAGTGTATAGTAGTGTAGTGTATAGTGTAGTGTATAGTAGTGTGTATAGTAGTGTAGTGTATAGTGTATAGTGTAGTGTATAGTAGTGTAGTGTATAGTAGTGTATGGTGTAGTGTATAGTGTAGTGTATAGTAGTGTAGTGTATAGTAGTGTAGTGTATAGTGTAGTGTATAGTATAGTGTATAGTAGTGTAGTGTATAGTAGTGTAGCGTATAGTAGTGTAATGCCTCCATAGAGTCCAATGTGTTCGCTTACCAACCAGTAGTGTAGTGTATAGTGTAGTGTATAGTGTAGTGTAGTGTATAGTGTAGTGTAATGCCCCCATAGAGTCCAATGTGTTCGCTTACCAACCAGTAGTGTAGTGTATAGTGTAGTGTATAGTGTAGTGTATAGTAGTGTAGTGTATAGTGTAGTGTATAGTAGTGTAATGCCCCCATAGAGTCCAATGTGTTCGCTTACCGGCCATTTCCCTGTTAGCGACGGGCTGTTGTAGATACACTATATATTAATTAATGCATTGATTAACCATGTTTCTTTTAATACTCGCCCTTTACCCGTCCAAGGACGGGTGTATTGCAGTAAATCTGAAACTTGCAAGCGGAAAGCAGACCGCGACGTGATATATTCATTGCATCAATTCGTGTGCAATTTGTAAGGCCGCAGTGACACAGACCTATTTCATTTTAAGGTTATAATCCCTCGTTCATCATGACGTCCTTTTTACTTCGATGTCTCAACAGCGTTACGGAGATCACGTGATGACGTGAGGGTTCTGCCTTTGTAGTGAGGGTTGTAAGTTGACGCTGAGGAGGGTGGAGGAGGCGCCTCGCCCCCCCCCCCCCCATGTGGAGTGACGTCACCTGCTCATGATTATTAATGAGGTGGCCTGTTCGATGTGGAGTGACGTCATCCGCTCATAATTATTAATGAGGGGCGGGTCTATGTGGAGGACGTAACCTGGTCATTATCCAATCTAGATTTGATGCTTTCGTGACTGCAGGAATCCATACTCCTTGGTTCTTTCGTTAAAGTCACGTAGGTATAAAATGAAACACATCACGACGTTTCGATCGCAACACAAGCGACCGTCATCAGGTGAGACGATCACAGCAGGGAAACTTCTGAAGCAGGCTCATGATTATTAATGAGTGGGGCTGGTCGACGCGGAGTGACGTCACGAGCGTTAAGGACATTTGTTGTGTGATTATAGTAGGTATTATGTGTTCATAACGTTGTTAGTACTCTTTACGTATCAATAGCCACTGTTTCAATATCATGAAGTGCGTTTTGTGACTGAGAAAGGGGTAACTTTCGACGCTATCTGAACAAATGAAGCCATGAACGTGCATCTCCTATTCCCGCTTAACGAGCACATCACGTCACGGACGGTTTCGTGGAAACCCATCACCGTCGTGAAGAGTCAGGGGGCTCTACCGCACGTTGAACTTCTTTCGCACCGCACGTAGCCAACCGCGGCGATCAGGGGCGCTGGGAAGGCCAGCTGCGAGAACAAACAGCGCCAACGGTTCCTCACCACCACGTGTGCAGGGATTCGAAACGGCGGCGTGCCAACAGCGCCCACTGCATCTCGGGACGTCACGACGGGCACGGTGCTGCAGTGGGTTCCAATGGCTTTGCCTCCGAAACCGGGGATCGTGATTCGCTTCCGGAACCAAATTGTCCCCATCATCGAGTGTCGTTCGTCCCGCGTTCGGCTTTGGTTTCCGGGCATTCCCGCGGGTCGCGACGCACACTCCGCAACGCGTTTAAAGGTTGTGGGCGGCCGTGAGTGGATTTCTGCACGGGGCGCCGATCGAGACACGGTGGAGTCCAGCGATGGCTTGGGACTCCGGTCCGATCATTGGATGGGCGACGACGCTCCCACGTTTTCCGGCGACAAACTTTCCGAGACCGAACCGCCGCGCTCACCGAGAACGCGGGGTGAAGCGGCTGCGAGAACCTGGTCCGGAACGTGTAGAGGATCTGCATCGCTTCTGGGTCGTAGAAGGACAGCGTCCCTGTCGAGACGCCAACACACAAGGACATCCACGCAGTCTAGAAAATGCAGTGGAGTGAGTGGTGGCGCAGCGGTTAGCGCAACACACGATCAATTCGGCGACCTGAGTTTGGATTTCCCAGCCACGGTGTTGGGTGATTCCTGATTGGGTACACGGCCATCCCCGCCAACCAGCGTGGTGAAGTATGGTCAAGGAGCCCCCAAGAATGACGTGGCTTGGGGAGGCCTTCATCTAGCAGTGGATTTCCAAAGGGGCAATCATTAATAGAAGTACGGAGACACACCCACGGTGAGGGTTTGTTAACAAGTCCTATAAATGACTTTATAAGTGAGTGTGGGGTTGGGGGATTTATTGGGTAGTTTGGCGAGCGGTAGGTGAGTGGTTAGGTGAGTGAGAGGGTGAGTAGGTGGTCAGGCGGCTGACTGAGCGTGTTGAGTAGGGGGCACAGGTGGTGCATCGGCCAGTCATCTCAGTCAACCCATGGCACCTGGGTCTGTCCCGTGACCTCCTGCCAGCGGGCGTTCAACACTTCACGTGGCCTTAACGTGCACATAGCCTGGCACATACGCCATGGTGACGTCAAAGCCACTTAGTGGCGAATGGCGGTTGTTGTTGGGCAGGTAGGTTGGTAGGTTGGTAGGTGGGTGGGTAGGTGGGTGGGTAGGTGGGTGAATGAGTGAATGGAAGGAAGGCCCGATGATTGGATCCCCGGCCGTGTCAATGAACGTTGGAGCGAGGGGCGTCAATCAGCGACCATTAATAATTATCAAGCACGCGAGTGAGAGCATATGACTGAAACAACACGAAACCAACAAACAGAACACCGAGCGAGCGAGCGGGCAAGGCGAACGAACGAACGGAGAGAGACAAACGATCGTCACCGGCGCCGTAGTCGCAGTGCACCCCGATGCGCGAGGGCGGCAGCGAAGGAGCGGCCCCTCCGGCCTCCCCGCCGGCACCGACGCCGGCGGACCGGGCGACGACGACGATGGCCCTGGCGCGGTTGTCGTGCTTGACGGCCAGCGAGTGGACGCGGGGCCCGGCCGCCCAGTGCAGGCACCACGACGCCGCCGTGCGGCCGAGCGCCTCGAAGCGGCCGAGCGAGCGGTAGGCCACGCCGACCGCCACGGCCCGAGTGCCGGCGCTGACCGCGGCCTCCCAGTACGCCTGACCGCGCGCAATCGCCACGTCGCCTGCAGCGTCCACGGGGACGGGAGCGGGGGGGGGGACGGGGGAGTGGGCGGATCATGGAGAGAGCGCAGCACGCGCCCTGGGGACACCGTCCTTGGAGATGATGAAACAAAAACAAAGGGCCGCTAATCTGGGAGGCTCAACGTGGACGCGTGGCGATGACCGCCGACCCCGCCCGCCGGTGGCCGCGTCCGGGAGGGGTTGGTGGATCACGCGAGCAGATGGCGCTGCAGAGGGGCGGGCCCACGTGTGAACGCGTCCGTGCGGACCTTTGGGTCCGATGTTGCATCGTCGCACCGCTCCAGAGGTTTGCCCGATCTTGGCGGTTTGAAAACGATCCATACGCTCACGATATGTTTGCGTTTAAGCACGTGCATTGAGGAGGACAACGGTGGAGGGTGAAGGTGGTGGGTGGAGGAGGAGGAGGTGGGTGGAGGAGGAGGTGGGTGGAGGAGGGTGATGGAGAGGGATGGAAAAGGAGGTGGGTGGAGGAGGAAGTGGAGAAGGTGAGTGGAGGAGGAGGTGGGTGGAGGAGAAGGAGAAGGAGGAGGAGGTGGGTGGAGGAGGGTGAAGTAGGAGGATGGAAAAGGAGGTGGGTGGAGGAGGAAGTGGAGAAGGTGGGTGGAGGAGAAGGAGGAGGAGGAGGAGGAGGTGGGTGGAGGAGAAGGAGGAGGTGGGTGGAGGAGGAGGAGGAGGGGGGTGTCTCACCCAGGGCTGTGTAGGATTCTCCCGTGAACCGCCCCCGGTGTGCGGAGCGTGGTGACGGCGGGCGGCACGATCCGGACGCCGCCTTCCACCCCGGGGACCCGGCCGGCGCCCTGGAGCGGCGACAACGGCGGCGAGGGCCACCCACGACACTTCAACAATTGTTCAAGCTCTGCGGCCCTCGACTTATACGTACATGTCAAGGTGTGTTCAGCGAATTAACACGTGGGAGGAAACCGCAGGGGCCCGGAGAAACTCCCACGCGTGCGAGCGAGAAACCCCTCCATCCCGTACACCAGGGGTGGGGAACGTCCGGCCCGCGGGCCGTATGAGGCCCGCAAAATCATTTGGTCTCTGGCCCTGCCAAGGCAACCGCAGGCGGGACTCGAAATTCAATAAATCTAGGAGCAAACCTGGAAAAGCAGTTGCGAGTAGCGACATCATCAATACCAGCTAACATCATCAACACCAGCTAACATCACCACACGCCTCGCCAAAGAGAAGCAGGTTCCAGCCATCGCATTAGGGGCGAATTAATGAAATGTTTGACCAAATACAACAGACTCATTTTTAAGTTGATAATTTTGCATGGCCCGCGAATGATGTTATATAAATATCCAAATGGCCCTTGGCAGAAAAAAAATGTTTCCCACCCCTGCCGTGCACAGACGTGGGGCACGGCACCTCCACGGTGCCCACGGGAAGTCTCGCGGCGATCCACCAACCCCCCCATCGTGCCTCAGCGACGCGGCCCCCACCTCACGGGCGAGCCCTTGGGCGACGGTGGCGGCGTGGAGGCGGAGTGGGCCCTCGCCCTCCTCGTCGCTCCGGGGCTGGAGGCAGCGCGCGGGGTCCCGGCCTCGGCCCGGGCCTCGCCGCCGGCGCCGGCGCGCGCGACGGCGCCGCCCAGTGCGTCCCACTCGAGCGCGAGGCCCGCGACGCGCACGTTGGGGTGCGACGAGGCCCCGTCCACCGCGAAGACGAACGCTGCGCACGTCCGAGGGCGGCGTCGTCCTCGTCAGCGTCGCGGTCGTCGTTGTCGTCGTCGTCATCGTCACGGTCCGCTTCGTCGCAGCGGTGCGCAAGGCGATGGATGATTTGACCCCCTGGACGTTCCTCGTCGTCGATTCATCATCAGATCACGCAGACAACGCGCTCGGAAGGTGCGAACAAGTTGGCTCGGTTCGTTCTCCCACCCCTGCGCCTCCCACCAACGGCGCGAAAGAAGTTCGGCGTACGGCACGCGCGTGACTCGCGGGGGGGGGGGAGGGGGGGGCGGCACGCACCGTGGGTCTCCAGGGTGAGGGGCAGGGAGCAGGGCCCGCACAGGGCCTTGTTGCAGGCCCTCACGCGGAAGCTCACGTAGGCGCCCTCCAGCTCGAGCCCTGACACGGCACGGACGGCACGCGGCTCATCGTCATCGTCGTCGTCATCGTCGTCGTCATCATCGTCGTCGTCGTCGTCATCATCGTCATCATCATCATCGTCGTCGTCATCATCGTCGTCATCATCGTCGTCATCATCGTCGTCATCATCATCTTCGTCGTCGTCGTCATCATCGTCGTCGTCATCATCATTGTCGTCATCGTCGTCGTCGTCATCATCGTCGTCATCATCATCATCGTCGTCATCATCATCATCGCGCGGAGCTCCGTTCGCGTGGTTGCCGTCTCCCGGCATGCCCCCAATGACACCAAACAACTCCGATATTCACGGCCAAACCCCCCACACACCCCCCCCCCCCCCAAGCCGGGGGATGGACATCTGGCAGGAGACCCATAATGGCCGTGTCCAGGCGCCAGTAGAGAATCGCTGATGTTCTGGGTTGTGGAGTGGAGGTGGGGGGGTTAAAGCCCCCAGGCTGTGGATCTCACGATGGGCTCCTAATGGTAACTGAGCTGGACCCGCGTGGGGGATACATCACGATTCACGATGGTGCGAGCTGAGGGGTGGGGACCGACTTTCTCTGATGACAGCTGCCCTCCCCCTTCCCGGACGAATGGCGCCGGAGAACAAAGGGCTTTGTGCGCGCGGTGACGTCACCACGGGGAGATCGTGCCAGGCTAGGTGCGCTTTGAAGCGACGTGAAGCGCTGTCAGGCGTTCACGGGACGGGATATGTAGGAGACGATCCCAGGTGTTAAGGGTTAATAGATACAACACAGACCCCCTCCCCCCTCGCATAGCCTGAATAGACTCTCAGGGCAAGTGCTGTTAGCGAGCACCTACGAATACCGGCACGGGACACGACGGGGTAGGTGGCCAGCACCACGCCCGACCGCTTTTGTCTCCCTAGTAGCGACGTTTACTATACACCGCGTCAGTTGCTCAATCGAGGGGAGGCCCAGGACCGGTTCAGGTCATTATCGTCACTGGTGTTGCTGGTTCGTAGCGCAGTGTTCTAACCGCTACACTACCGCTCCCCACGACAGATAGCCACCTGTGATTAGCACGGTTGGTTATGTACAGGGCCGAAAAAGTTATCCATACATATATGTACACAGTATAATGGGTAAAAAAGTGGGGTTTACCCTATCTGGCAGAACCCCTTCCTATTTTTAATCATTTTGGATACTGGTAAAAAGGTCTCATAGATATACAACACAAAGACAAAGATCCCCCGTATAGCCTTAACATACTATTGGGGCAAGTGCTGTTAGCGAGCACCTATGAAGGCTGGAACGGTACATGAGGCAGTAGGTAGCCAGCACCACGCCCAACCGCCTTTGTCTCCCCACTAATGATGTTTACACGTCACATCAGGTACTAATTTGAGGCTGAGTCGACCTAAGGGAGGTCCAGCGCCGGTTCAAATAATCATCACTGATGTTGGCCGTGAGCGGGAATCGAACTCGGGTCACCGGGTTCGAAGTGCAGCACGTTAACCACTACAGACATTTCCATACATATGACACACACGCGCGCACACACCTACACGGACACGCGCGTGCACCTGTGCTCAGGTAAGGCAGTGGTGGGGGGGGGTTGGTGGTGGTGTTGGGGGGGGGTGGCTCTCACCTGCGAGGCGGTGCTGGGTGTCGCTGACGGGCGGCGTTGGGGTCCAGCGCTGAGTCTCGGGTGGCGGCACGGCGGAGTCCGACCGGCAGTACTCCAGCTCGTAGTGACTGACCTTCTCCGGGGACCACGGCGACGGCGGTGATGCCCATGACGACGACGACGACGAGGACGAGGACGTGGATGACGTCCGTGACGACGTCGATGTCGACGATGTCGACGATGGTGCCCACGTGGCATGCGCGGGGGGCATGGCCCAGCAGAGGGTCGCGGCGTTGTCGGCGAGGCGGCATCGCGACGCCACGAACTCCGGCGCACGCGGAACTGCTCACAAACGCGTGAATTATATAAATGTGTCGTTAAACCCGCCACCACCCGACACAGCCAATTAGTAAGGTTTGTCAGGTGAACAGAACGTGACCAATTCGTTACTAGTACAGCACACAAGGTGTGTTGGAGAGCCAAGCCAAAACATTTACAATCTGAGTACGACGTTTCGCCAGCAATTACAACCAGCTTCATCAGGCGACGTTTGTCACAACGACAAACGTCACAATGACAAACGTCACAATGACAAAC